AGTATACCAAACCATAGTATACCAAAACAGTATTATGTGCTGTGCTCCGCTACAGTGCATATCACACTGAAGTATACCAAACCATAGTATACCAAAACAGTATTATGTGCTGTGCTCCGCTACAGTGCATATCACACTGAAGTATACCAAACCATAGTTGATACAGCCAAGTTTATACAGATTACCAACTTTTGGGTGTCAGAAAACGCATTTCATTAATATTTTAGCACTACTTAATCTGCTTAACAAATCGTGAGGGTAAACAAACAGCAGATAACATATAGTACCAAAAAGCTGGTGTCTGGACAAATATTTTGCCTGTCATCTGAAGCCCTAGTGATGATTGCGCAAGTGCAGTATAATATCGATGTGATATCACCCAGCCCTAGTCGGATGTAACGAACTGTGGAGCTCTGATACATTTGTGACTTGTTCCGCATCTCATTTGGATGGATGGATGAGGTCTTGGTATTTGTAGTGGTATTTTTTTAATCTTTGTAGTGATCTTAAATGTGAGCCAGTGCAAACGATTGGTTGCATCTGATCAGAATGCTGGATCTGCATCCTGGTTTTAACATTGAGCACAGGGTCATTTATAATCCTGTTACCACAAAAGACGGTGCATGTCAATTCTGTTTTGTCCCCCCATGAAAAACTGTCATTTTTAGGGCTGTCATGATCATGAAATTTTAGTTGACGATTAATTGTCATACAAATAATTGATTAATGATTCAGTTGTCTTTTTCTGTTCATTTTACGACATGGTATTTTGGTATACATACACCTTTGCTTCCCTCTAAACTGAAATATGAAGTTTGGTGTATTTTGTGTTTTGTTTCAGCCATATTAATATCCTGCGTCTATTACGCATTTGCCATGTATCCAAATGCGCATTTGTTTTATGTGCATTCGCACCCTGACAAGAAATCAGTGTGCATTTTAGCCTTTATACCACAAAAGAAGTCCAAATTAGCCACAGAAAGATTAAAATGCACGGTAATTTCTTGTCATAACAGCCTGAATGCACAGAAAATATGCCTTTGCGTTGCTACAACAAGAAATTGCTGTGTGTATCCCTGGCGAATGCCTACTTGTATAACAGTTTTGTGCGCCTGTTTATATCACTCCAAAGCAGTGGGATCAGAAATAAATGGACAAAACATACGTTTCTCTAGTTCATTGTCCTATTGGCATAATATACTGACTTTGCAGCATAATAGTGGCGGCCGTCAGGGACACATATAGTCATCTCATCATAACAAGATGCACAAACACACACTCAGACACAAGTGCAGGCACTATGCAGAACTTTCATTAAACAGAAAGCACAAAGAATCCAAAATCGGAATATATGGCTGGTATTCTGGGCTGTTGGAGATCGGGCACAAGCAGCAGGTTAAATAAACCTGAAGTAGTGAAAAAAATGCTAATGGGATCAGGCTGGGTCATGAAAGTGTTGTGAAAGAAAGTGATACAACTAGAACACTTGTAATATTTGCCATGAAGTGTAATGCTGCGCATGCGTAGACGTGCGAGGTACAAATGACAGGTGTTATGGATCGGTTCAGAATCGGAACAAGATGATGTCATTCAACGAGCGCCAGTCAAACATTACACAGTAGAAAACAATATGGAAATGGTTATAGAAATATGAGGATTTATCTCATCCAGCTATTTTGCAATCGGTGCATGTCTAGCTGCCGAGTGAACCATGACTAGGTCTGTTGCAGTTATTACATAATCGCTTGATCGCAATTATTTTAACTGACTGCAAATATTTTTTTGCATAATCTTTAGAATCATTTTTCAATTTTTTTTCTTGTTTTAAAATACAGTCCATAGGTCACAAACCTCCAAATAAAATTGAAGTGTACAATACTCTTTTTTACTATGTATTGGGGAAAAAAAACCTTGGTTAGCTTTGCAATTTGCAATAATGATCATTCTTTTTCAAGATTATATAGCATTTGTTTAATATTCACTTTAAAGTTTACCTCTGTTTTACCATTGTTTACTTAGGCTTTATGTGGAACCCGCTTATAGTGATCACGTCTGTCTGGGTGAAATTGATTACTATAAGCGGACGATCATTATAACCGATTTTTTTTCCTTAGTCTCGGGCAGATTAGCATCTAATTGATATTTGTATATTTGTTACATCAATATACAGACGCTCCTCTACTTACGAATGAGATACGTTCCAAATGGCCGTTCGTAACTTGAAATGTTCGTAAGTCGTTATTCAACATCATTTTAAGGGTATACACAAGTACAAAGAACTAGGATGCTGGGAGTACGCACGCTACGCTGCTGCATGGCGGGAGTAGCGTACTACCCAGAATTGGCGTGCAGGAAAAAAAAATGTTGCGGACAGGAAACGGGAGCCCAATGAACACAATTTGGACTTACGGTCCTCTTCGTTCATATGTGTGAAAGTTTGGTAATGGAAATATACAAGACTGATCAGCTGGTTTCTGGTCCAGACCACGCATCCTGAAAATCAAACGATTTTTGGTCCCTGGCCAGTTGATCAGTGCATCTCTATCGGCATCGGTAGCTTGCCTGGATGTGCTGGTTCGTTCAGAAGAGCACTTGGGAAGTTTGACTCCCATCAGCAGGTGTGTGCAGGTAACTAAGTAGAAGGTCTGTGCCGTGCCTGGCCAGTCGGGTGCTCCCCCTCCCCAGGGAAATTAAATCAGAAAAGTGTTTGCGTTGATGTTTATCTGAATGTAAGGTTTCCGTCATGTGTGCCATTTTCCGTGACCATCGTGCCATTTAACAGCCTCGTGTTGAACCATTTGGGTTTTTCTTTTTTCCCCTGACTCAGTGCTTTGTGTCCCGCTCCCTGTTTAGGTATTCGCTCCTGGGATGTGAATCTGACGACCTGTAACCTGGACGAGCAGCTGAAACTGTTTGTGTCAAGACACTCGGCCTCCTTCTCTGAGGAACTCAAAGGTAAACAAACGCCTCACATCAATACATCACCCCCATCCTCCAGGTGTCTGTTTGATCTCTGACTCGCTGTTGATCTATGGTGTAAGGCGGAAACCAGGCCAAACGAGACCGGTGGCTGGGAGATTGGCTTGTTCTCTGGTCACTATGTAGTGTGAGAGCGGGTTGTTTTCCCTCTAACCTGGCTCTGTGCTTGGTTCCTCCATGTTGATTAGTCATGCTTGGTTCTGTGTGTGCATGTTGGTGGAGCTGACCTCATCCATCCTGTGCTGGGATTTCCTGACACGTGCCTTCGGCTGCCAGTCACCAAGTACGCGGTGGGGGGGGGAGCCTTTGCATTTGTTTACCCCCCCCCCCCCCCCCCCCCCCCCCCATTAAGCGCAACTAAAACTGTACGCCATTTGTGTTCAAGTTTTATACGACCTGTCCTTGAGGGTAGTACTAGCAGTTGTAAAAGGATACAACTTTTGGGGATTTGTAGGATATTATATTTGTGATCGTATGGATAATTTTTATAATGAAGGCAACGTGTGTGTGGGTATATATGGTATTTAATATAGAGTGTAGATGGGGTGCCACTTTAGTCTGTGCTTAGTATGTAACACAATGAAATGCATGTGTCATATTTTTATGCACCACCCAGTGGTAGAGCACGAGAGCTGGTAGCGCACATGCTAAAGGAGTGCTGTATGCGATCTAGCTTGTGTTTTGATGCAGCTTTGCGGATGGTGCTTTCAAAGGTACCTTCTGCTTCATTTTTCAGCTCACACCCACAGGAATGCAGGGAAAATTGACTCTGATCATCTAAGTTGCTCGAAAGCCTGACTTTAAGTGAGCGCATTTGCCTGTCTGTTGCTCTGTCTTCCTGCTGAATCAACATTTTAATGTCACTGGGACGAGCACCCAGTCTTCCTGCCCGAATTCCACGGAAAGCCTGCAGCTGCCCGCTGACCCCTGTCGCAGCCGCAGCACTGCCCGAGATTATCAGCAAAGCTCTGTCTGGCTCTGTCTGGCCTAAGAGCACTGTGGGACTGCTGATCTCTCCCTGAGTTCTGTGCTTGATGCCTGGGCATGCTGCCCTTACAGAGTAACATCATGCTCGTTTGTTTTCAAATTAAAATGACAGTTTTTTTTTAAAGTGTTCTAGTGGAATATTCTGGTTTTGAAGTCTGCCAGGTAGTAATTGAGTTATGCCTTGTGTGAATTGAAGGGCGTGATTTGTCTGGTCGACTGAAGTTTGTTGGAGAACCACAGGCATGGATGGGGGGGGATGGTTGTCGTCACTGGGGGATGGATTCTGATGTGTGCTGTAGTAATTCAAGCTTTTCCATTGTTGGTCTGTTTGAATACCATCGGCCTGCTGTATTTCAGCATAAGTGCTTCAACAGTGGATGATCAGTTTGTGTTGCAGGATTCTATTGGCTGATATACGTTAACCTGCTATATTTTAAAAACAGAGAAGTTCACCTGCAGTGATTTCCTGGGGCTTGATATTCTCAGGTAGAGTGTTGCAGTTTATGTCACACTCTTTCTGCAAAAGACGAGTAGTTTGCAAGTCTTACAATTTTAAATATTTTCCTCTCCCCATGCCAAAAGTCCTTCCAGCCTGCCAGAAATGTCTGACGGTATCCCATCTGCCGAAAAGCCGAACTGAATGCAGAAGTTCCCTCTTTGTATATTGGAGCAAACCGCATGTAATTATGTGGTCCGTAGATCTTATGACCGAAAAAGGCTAGGAGCTGTGTATGAGATTCTCAAACTTTGAGATGTGCTTTAATGTCGTAAGATGTAATTCCATGTGAGTGTTGTGGTTTTTTTTTGTTTGTGTTTGTCGTACAGTCCATCATTCTGTTTGTGCTACTACCAGAAGGCCATCGGAGTGACCTAAAGTACATGTTAGTCTTATTAGATGTCAAGTTTTCTAAATTTCTCTTTGACTGTGCTGGGAGGACAGTTATTTACTTGTTCCTCTTGGCTGGAGTGGAGTTTCTATCGTGTAGGATCTGAGAATTTAAATTAACTTTTAGTGGCGGCGTCGCATCTGCTGTCCGAGCCTCAGTGTGTGAAATTCAAGGAATCGTTTCTGTCCCTGGTGTCTATCGATGCTCGCACTGTGTGGCTTGGCACTCACTTGTGTCTAGACACTGCTAGTGCAATTCAGGCAGCTTTTCTTTTTTTAGGATATCTTTTCCCTTGTATGATAGGCAGCCTAGCTTTGCTTTTTGGAACATTGAACAAAACCTCAGCTGACCTCACCTTCTAAAGACGGGCCGTTCATAGTGCTTCTGTCATCATGGTTAGTTATTCTGGTTGTGGGGACATTAACTGTTCGCTCACTTTCAAGGTTCTATCTGCAGGTCGTCTACTTCTGGACTCCCGTTCTTGGGATTTTCATTCTCGAACGCTCGTGGTGGAGCGGAGAGCTTAGGGGAGTGTGTTTTATAATCGATGCAGTCACTTCTCACCAGGGTGGCTGGCACAAATCTGACATGCTCAGAGATGCAGGGCCTGTTATTTGATGGTTATCTATGGTTAAATATCCTCTTGAGTCCCACTTCAATACAGTCTTGATCTGAAGTGAAAACGTTCCGGGTCACATGTGATCATTTTTTTTTTTAGCTCATGGGACTTTTACTTACACAAAAATGTTCTGAGGGCAGAAGAAAAAAATTATTGGTTCAGAGTGATAACCAATCAGATCTTGGTCAGATGTCAGACTAACCAATTAAGAACATAAGAAATTTACAAAGCTCGTTTGGGGAGAATTCATCTAATATCTCAGAGTTGTTAAAATCTTATCTAGCTCTGATTTAAAGGAACCCAGGGTTTTAGCTTGTGCTACACTAGCAGGAAGACTATTCCATACTCTAACTACACGCTGTGCAAAGAACAGCATCCAGACCTGTTAGAATCTTGTATACCTGGATCATGTCCCCCCCTTAGTCTCCTTTGCTCGAGGCTCTGCTAACCTCTCCTCAGAAGTCAGATGTCTTGGTCCTGCCTCCTCTAGGTGCTTTGACTTGTGTCCTCTACAATCTGATTGGTTCTCTCTCTTTTCCTTCTACCTTCAGAACATTTTTGTGTAAGTAAAACTCCCACAAGCCATTTTTTAACAGTAGTTTGCTTTTCTCTGGCTCTCAGAGAAAAGCAATATAGGCAGGTGATATGGATGGAGAGTTGCAGCATGGGGGATTTGATAACAGACCAGTGGCTGTCAGAACAGGATCTGGCACTGAAAATAGTTTGTCCATAACTGTCGTGTGTGTGTGTGTGTGTGTGTGTGTGTGTGTGTGTGTGTGTGTGTGTGTGTGTGTGTGTCCTCTACAGTGTCATGTGGACCACAGGCCCCTCCCTGTCAGGGTTGGTCACTTCCTGTAATGTAATTTTTACCCAGTGAGGCTCTGTCATGCCTCCTCTTTGAGCCACTGGCATGACTCATCAGTGACCAGCTGCTTGGGAACACATGCCAGACGCTTTCGAGAAACCTGGGGGGGGGGGGGGTGTTGTGAGGTTGGGCACTCTGGGCAGACTGGTAGAGGTTGACTGGACCGATCACTTGCTGGCCCACGCCTGTGACATCACCTCCCCATCAAGCATATTGCTTGTCTGGAATAAGTGCAAAGAACCAATGTGACCCTGTAGAGTCCAGTGGCCTTCCTCCCACACCTAGCACCTCTTCCTGTTTCCAACATGGATTAACTGGCACTGCCTCCTGCAGATCATAAGGGTAGGAGTGTCATAACAATGATATGCAGAGGTGGATAGTTCAGGTCCAGAAAGTAAAAATCCAGACCAAGATTTTGTTTCAACCAACTAATTGAGTACTCAGTGAAGTACTGACTCTTTATATTCAACTGGTTGGTTGAAACAAAGTCTAGGTCTGGATTTTTACTTTCTGGACTTGAACTATCCACCTCTGATGATATGTTGAGGAGGCTGTGTGCAGACCCCAGTCCCCAAGAACTGTGCTCACTACAGAAAGCCTCTGCAGATGGGCTGAACCTTAGGGCCTCTCATTTCCGTTCCTGCGACATGTGGCTGTGATTCTGGGCTGGAAAGCTCATTCCAGACTCCCAAGGAACCTGTGAGGCAGCTGGGGAGTTGTTATGTGTCGACACTGTCTCTGTGCAGTGACTCGGGCTTCTACGCGTGGCAGAGGGAATGGGTGGGTAGTGTGGGGACTTATTGAGCGTCCTTCCTGCACAGTGGAAGGAGATGTGACTTTGGAGGGGGTTGTGCCGTGGGGTGGCCGGTATGGAATGTGACGCTGTTCTTTGTGTTCCTGTCACCCTCCTATGAGGTGTGTGGGGAGTGGCCCTGATACGCAGTGAGCATGATCTGAAGCGTCGTGAGCAGCTGCGGTGATGGTGACACCGCGCCTACACCGTTGCTATTTATATCCACTGGTGGATCTCGCATTTTTCGCTCTTCCTGTGGGTCTGTTCCGTGTAGGTGAAGAGACGCACATAAAGGTCATTAGATGTTGTGAGAGGACACAATTTTAGCTGGAAATCAGAGCCCCCATGTCCTTAACCATGTTGTAAACATGCCATTGTTTGTCTGCATTGTGTAAAACAAGCTTTTATAGACACACAGAGTGCACTGGAAAGCTGTTCATTTCAGGTCTGCAGAAGAAAATTTACACTTTATGAAATGTCAACTTGATTTGAAGAAGTATGGAAAGTGTCAAATATTTTTAAATTTGGGATCATCCTCTCCCCAGAGCGAGGCCTGTTAACTTTCAGTTCCTCATAGAGCCTCTGAGACGTGCAACCATGCAGCTGCTCTCGGCAAGTATCACATTCTGACGTGCATCTTTTGGAGGATAAGCTTCAGTTGGGAAGGAGAAATGGAATGAAAAGTTGGGGAAGTTACTGGGAAATCCAGTACAGCAGGGTCATTGGAAATTGTCATGGTCACTGCCTTACCATGGAGTTGTATCTTATGGAAGAGCAGGTCTGTGAGGATTCCAGTAGTATGTGTTCAGGTCTAGGGCCCAGATTTTTGTGCTGGTATGTATTGGCCTATTTTTCTGCAAGGAAAGGCCTTCAGTGGTTGCCATGGCAGCAGGCGAGCTCAGCTGGCCTACAGGAAAAGGAAGTACTTCCTACCATATCACTGTCACTAATGGGGGGGGAGGGGTTAGCGATCCAGGTTGGAAGTGTGACACCATCCTACCCCCCCAATCATCATTGAAGCTCATTGCCAATTACGGTTCCTTGCCTTTGAGGAAGCATCCAGGGACAGTTCTGTCTCCCAGGGCCGTTGTGGCGGCAGGGCTGTAACACAGCTGTTCCCCAACTATAAGGTGCTTGTGAGCATCAAGCCTCCTGGCAGCTTCCTTAACAGGGATGTAACCCAATTAGGGCCCCCTCAGCCTCATGGCAGCATAGACCTACACAAACAGGCCCCCACCCCTTATCTTTTCTGTGATGCTCTGTCATGGGAGACTCCCATACTTGTGAATGCACTGATCTGTGGACTGTCATTCACTGAACTTTTAATTTTCATACAATTTTACTCAAGTCCATCTCATCTGTAGATGGTGATGATATTGTCATGCAAGCATATACCAGCCCTTCTGGTTCCTACAGACTCTGACGCCTACAGATCTCCATACGGCTTGGCCTGTGTACAACCAGTGTTCTCTCTGGTTCTCTCTCATCTGCCTGGCTCTCTCCTCCAGTTTCCATCTGTTTATTGATTTGGAATCTTAACAAGACCAAACAAAGAGCCCTGCAGAGACTTCAACACCCCCCCCCCCCACTCCCCGATATGGCTGGTTAACATATGGGTTTGTGCTTCTGTCATCTGCTAGCATGTGATCCCAATCCAATCGTGTGGCCCAAAGACTCCCAGCAAATGAGCAAAGGCCCTTTTACTGAGCCTGAAGCTTAAGAAGACGCTACCAGAAGAGTGGGGGTGGCGGGGGAAGATTTATCAAGTCACAAGTCATTTGTAGGGCACTTTGGTTCAACTGTGGTAGTTTCAAAAGTGCTACACAGAGATAGCATAAATTAGCAAAACAAAGAACTCATTTGAGCACTAACACAGAAAAAGATAACATAAATAAAATCAATTTAAAAAAATCTAAATTAAATAAATAGATGTGTTTGAGACACCAAACTGAACTGGAGTCATTCCAAAGCCAAGAAATTGGTCTTAAGCAAAGATTTAAAACCATCTGTAGACTGTGGTTTTGTTTGTGGATTTGTGGTTTTTTTTTTTCCTTCTTGCCTCTGAACTCCCTTTTCACCCTACCTCTTCCTCTAGTGAAGTTTATTTTTACATTGGAGGTTTGTGACTGTCTGCTCCTGGCTCCCATTCCAGAGTCACCATGACTCTTACTCCATTTTGTCCTTACGGTGGCTTCTCTCAGAGGCAGATCAGCTGATAGTTTTGCCGCTGAAGGCCTGCATTCTCCACAGAGCCGAATTACAAGGGTTCAAAGGTACCAGCCGCTCCTGAATGCAGTGGATTTGCTGCATCTGCTGTCGCACAGAGCCTTTTTGCCTCGGGACAGATTTGGTGATTCTCTTTTTAATTAGGGTGTGTTTCTCCCAGGTTAACGACGGACGTGTCTGCTGCCAGTACAGGCTTCTCTTAAGGACGTTGTTAATAGGCCACCAATTAAGAGCTTTCTGCAGATTGGTTTGTCTTTTTAAAGCTGATGTTTCTTGTGGTTTACACTGCACACTGAATTTCGTGCTGACCGTGGGTTTGCTATGTGTGTGGTTTTAAAGGGGCAGTTCACCCCAATTCTGAAAAAAAGATTTGTTTTAGAACAGGGGTGTCAAACTCCAGTCCTGGGGGGCGGAGCCCTTTGTATTTTTGGGTTTCCCTTCATTTAACGCACCTGATTCAACTCCTTGCACCTCCTTGTGCTAATTACCACACAGCTGTTGAGCTGAATCATTTGTGGTGGAACAGGGAAAGGACTAAGCTACACAGGGCTCCGGCCCTCCAGGACTGGAGTTTGACACCCCTGTTTTAGAAGGACTTTTTAGTGCTATCTGTCCATCTAGGATGTTCTGCTGGGAGTTGCCTAGTTGTGGAGATATCAGCTGTAGAAATGATGGGCTTCTCTCAAATATAATAAGAGTGAATCATATTCTTTCTGGGCTGGGGTGAACTGGAGTTACCAAATTGCCCATAGATGTGCATGTATGTATGAATGAATTTTGTGTGTGCGTGTGTGCGCCCTGCAATGGGTTGGTGCCCCGTCCTGAGCTATTCCCTGCCTTGCTCCCGAAGCCTGCAGGATAGGCTCTGGACCCCCCCTCACCCTTTAATAGTGTTACTCTGTGTTCCCCTATCTCCCTGCAGGCCAGAGAACGCTGCAGCATGGTGGAGACGTCCTGGAGAGCCGGGTGGTGGTGAACCCCTCCCACGCGTACGTGTGTTCAGAGGTGAGGCCTGACACTGTCTGTGCAGCCAGGGCTCACAGCTGCTCTCTCTGCACATTATTTTATTTTTCTGATGTGTAATTTAATGTAGCTGCTTCCCTGCCCTGAATTGGCTTTGAGTAATGGGCAATCTAACACTGTGGAGTGCTGCGAGGAGCAAAAACTGTCTTGGGAGGGGCCCCCGAGAACCGGGTTGGAAAACACTGATCTAATCCATGTCCAAACACCTAGCAGTTTGATAGATTTTAGTGCAAAAGCGGAAATGTTTCCTGCTCCTCTCTCCATCATACTAGCGCTGTGTTTCATCACCTGCTACAGACAGCTTACTTAGGTGTTTCTTTTATACATCTAAAAACAAAGTTGCACCTCAATGTTACTGCTTCCTTCAAATGTCAAGCTGTTCAAAAAAAACACAGCATTTGTCGATAACCATTTATTCTGGGTTCTAATGGCCAATTTAAATTCCTTTCAAAAGACATGGTTCTTATACCTGTGTTGTAAAAGCATGGACCTTAAGCCGCATGGAGAAAACATGTTGCTTATCATGCCAAGTTTGGAAACGAATTGGCTAATTTTGTACAGCTCCTCATGCATAATTCCAGATAAAATTATTTATTGTGGACTAATAACCAATTGTTATGAAATGAATCGCAGTTTAACTTTTGGTACTAAAGACCGTATGTGGAGAGTAGGTGATGGGTTTCACATTTGTCATTTGCTTTGGGCTCTGATGGACAATGCAAATATTGATCCCAAGAGTATTGAGGAGGGTTTTCTTCTTCCTGAAACCATCACCTTTAGGTTGCTCAACTGATCATGTTTCCTACTAAACCAAAACTGACACTGAGATTGTTACCAGTTTCAGTCCTAAGAAGAAATCTGCTGTCTAAAGTAAATAATGTCATGTAATTGGTATGTGCAAATAATGGACCCTTTGAGTGTTTTCATTTTAGGCATACTGGACTAAATTTCAACCAACCGCTTTTATTTTGTGTGTGCTGGTTGTCTACTTCTTGGTACAGTACTTCCTCTACAAGGTTCTGTCTGTTTTGCTAGGTTGAATGTGTGCTGCTACCCATCTTGCCCACAAGCTGTGCTGTAAAATGTCAATTACACATGAAAGCCGTCGTATTTCATGTGCCTTTATTTGTTACATGTACTGCAACACAAGTATTAACATAAATATTAGGACTCTGACGGTACACTGGGGCTTTATTTCCAGTTTGGTGTGCATAATGGAACTAATTAATACATTTATTGACAGGCGGAACCTAAATTCACAAGTAGATGTTCAGCATGGAACATTAATTGTAGCTGTGACTTGGTTACGGCTAATGTTAGTTACAGTCAGTCATATTTGGCAGTTTGGGAACATTTTGATTTTCTAATCAATTACACCACCACTGGAGAGAGAGAGTAGTTGATTAGACCAAGACTGTCTGTCAGCTCTGTTTTACTGTACTGGGATATGTTGCTGGAAACGCATCCAATATGCTAACTCATTTGAGATGAAATATCTGAATGTGTGTATTCCTGCAAGGTGGCTTCACTGGTTTTGCCGGGATATTCAGCTACAGATATGTGACCACACTCCGTATGAGAGCACGTGGGATTTACTTAATTATTATTTTATTTTTTTGAATTTTTATGTATTTATTTTTACAAACTACAAAATTGTCTCTGGTTTTGTTATTCTCATGCTTCAGTAGATGCATAGCATTTGGTTTTAAAAACAAAACGTTTTCTCTGCTGTACTGAGATTGCATTGAACCATGAATCCAAAATCATAGTTTGTACCGAACCATGAATTTTGTGTACCGTTACACCCCTAGGAAATGTATAAAATGATAGGCAAGTTGAAAGTACATTTTGAAAAGAAAAGATTAGCACGTATGCTGCCAAACGTAGAACTGTAATTTGTCCTTGGTTAGGGCCTTCTGTAGTGTTTCTTTTCATATATCGGCATTCCATGACTCTTGTCCTTGGTTACAATTGTGCAAGGGAGTCAAGTATAGAAACTGCGTAAGATTCTTTTCAGGGGAGGGACGGGCATGTGGGGGAGGAGGGGGCAACTGAAAAATGAGGGGAGCATCTGAGGAGGAAAAATTTCAATGCCTAGTTACATAAAATAATAAGAAAATTACATAAATCACAGCCACAATCCTAGAGGGCACAACGTTTTCGATGCAGTTGGGGGATCCACCACTGTGTAGGTTCACTTTGGTCCTGATGAACTACTCAGTTGGCTTGGAGTTCCAGCTTTTACTGTATTTGTTGTTTTTATGGCTGTTAGAAAATTGAAACAGTGAGTAAGAATTTAAATGGCAGCTTATGTGTACATCTACGAAAAAGGTAACTATTATTCAGATTTTGTGCTCTGTAGTTGTAAAGTGGAGGAACTGGTCTTGAAGTAGATATGAAACAGAACTTTTATGCTGGTCTCTTTGAGGTCCTGTAATTCAGGTGGCAAGATCTAAGGGCACGTTAATTTTTTGTAGTGACAAAGGGGCCCTAACCCTATAGTAAGGGTAAGTTATGCATTATGAGTTTTAAAAGCTACCAGTCCATCATCCGTAACCAATTATATAGTGCAGAGTGAATTAAAATAAATAAAAAATCATATCCCAATTGTTTTGTTTTCATCCACCAGTGGTACTAGTTGTGCTTCTTGTGATCTTATTCTAGGATGTAGCCACATCTATAATCTTCACTAGGCCATTTGTCAACCAAATTCAGATGTATAGCAGTCTCAAATCTCTCCCCTTCAGGTTCGTCGGTTGATATCCGATTCAGCTCGTCACAAGCTGCTCATTCTTGCAGGACAGTGTGTAGAGGAGAGGGGGGATCTGGTCTTGCAAACAGGGTGCTTCTCTCCCCATGACTTTATTCAGATTTTTACAGATGAAGAGGTAAGTCTGAATGCTCATAGTTATTCTTTAGGAACTTACTACAGTTTTTATTTGAAAGTAAGAATAATTAAGATGGGTATATGTACTGTATATCTATATATTTATCAAGAGATTTATTAGTGGATGTGTTCAATTCTGTTTTTTTCCCAGATTGGTGAGCTGTTGAGCTCTGCGGACCCGACACAGAAAGCTTGCCTGACATTGAGTTGTCCTAACTCTGGTGTATGGAAGAATTCTGTGTTGGAGAAACACAATCTACAGGACTTTATTGAGATCAAAACCAATCCATCCTCAGTGTTGCCAGAGATGGAAGGCCTGCAGGAGTTTACAGAATATCTTTCGGAGTCTTTGGAACCTCAGTCTCCTTTTGATCTGCTCGAGCCCCCTAGCACTGTAGGTTTTCTCAAGCTTTCTCGTCCTTGCTGCTATGTCTTTCCTGGAGGGAGAGGCGATTCTGCCTTTTTTGCTGTGAATGGTTTTAATGTCTTGGTCAACGGTGGGTCAGATCCACGCTCCTGTTTTTGGAAGCTTGTGCGACATCTGGACCGGGTTGACTCTATGCTGCTTACTCACATTGGGGTTGACAACCTACCTGGTGTGAACAGTATGTTGCAAAGGAAGGTTGCTGAGCTTGAGGAGGAGCAGTCTGCAGGCTCCCAAGGCAACGAGGACTGGATGAAGAATCTCATATCACCTGAAATAGGGGTAGTTTTCCTGAATGCCCCAGACAGGCTCAAAGCAGTCCCTGGGAATCCCAAAGTACTACAGAGCTGCGACCAGGTGGCACTCACCTTACAATACCTGGAAAAATTATCAATCACACCAGAACCACTCTACCGCTCTAACAACTCTAATATCGAGCCAATCATTCTCTTCCAGAAAATGGGAGTTGGTCGCCTTGAGATGTATGTCCTCAACCCTGTCAAGGGCAGCAAGGAACTGGAGGCCCTCATGCAAACTTGGCCTCAAAATGTGTCAAACACCAATGGCTCAGAATTCCCTGTACCCAGCCAGGTCTCCATCTGTGCTCTGCTGGTGTGGCATCCTGCAAGTTATCATGAAAAGATTATTCGAGTCCTGTTCCCAGGTTGTACACCTCAGGCTAAGATCCTGGAGGGACTGGATAAACTGAAGCACCTTGACTTCCTTAAGCACCCAGTAGTAAGCCTCAAAGATCTTGAGGCATGCAAATTAGACAAGCCGCCAAAACGAACGGAGAGTCGGGAAAGCCTGAAGTCGGCAACCAAAGAGTCTAGACCAGCAAGTGCTGCCCTAAAGGAGAAACCTGGACGTGTTGATATCAAGAAGCAAGATTTAAAGGGCAAATCCAAAATGACAAATGACTTTGCTCCAAAAGACAGCAAAGAAGGTGAAGAAAAACACAAACCAAAGGATAGTGATGTAAAGCCAAAAGTGGTAAAGGCTGAAAAGCCTCTATCAAAGAGAGAACCTTCAAAGGATGATAAGAAGGAAGTCAAAAGGGAGGAAAGGGCCACAGTTGTCGCTTCTAAAAAAGAAGAGAATGGAGAAAAGAAGGACCAAACCAAAAAGGAGCCACCTTCAGTGAAATCCAAGAAGGAAACAAAGGTAGAACCAAAGAAAGAACTCAAGAAGGAAAGTAAGTTCGAAGAGAAGAGACTGAAAACCCTGAGCAAGGAGGTGAAAAAGGTACCAGGAGGAACTGTTCCTTCATCTTCTGCTCTGGACCAAAAGAAAAATATAGGCAAAAATGGGGCATTAAAGAAGGATGGATCTGGCCCAAAGAAGGAAGCTAATAAAGGGGCTAAATCCAAAAAGGAGAAAGAAAGCCAAAAAGCCCCTCCTTCCACACAAGAGGATGCAGATCGCTCCAAGATGTCCACACCAGAGGATATGACGGCGGAGTTTGAAAAGCTGCGAGAGGAGAGTGCGCAGGATGACGCAGGCCCATGTAGAATAAGCAGATGTAATGCAACAAATGAAGGGGCTGCCACAATAGGAAGGGCATCTTCAGAGCAGGGATCGTCTAAGAAGTTGGAGGATCGTTGTGAGCTTGATGGAGCAAATGTAGGGGAGGCAAATGAAAATTTAGACAGTCCAGAGAAATTCCGCTGCATGGAAACCATTAGCAATCCTATCAAGGCTATGGGACCACCCTCTCCTCTGGCTAAGACTCCAAAAAGTGACCGCAGTGTTAACTTTGACCTCACACCCACAGAGTATCGGTTACTTGAGGGAGCCCTGAAGAACAATTTGATAAGAAATGGCCAAGATGATGCATGTGCCAGCTCTGACGAGAAGACTCTTGAATTAGTCTCTCCCCCAGGTTCAAGTCCAAACAGTGCTGGACATACACCTTTTCAGCAGTCTCCCGAGGCAGAACCCCTAGGGTCTGGGGAAGACAGTAGCCTTGGTGGTAAAATATCTAGCCTGGGGTTTGACGACAGCCGACCCAATGGATCCTGTAGAAACTCTGAGTTGGGATGCCCTAAAAACAACATAGAGAACAATTCCTCCTCCTCTCTGGAGAAGCACTCAAGCTTCCTGTCATTGAGCCCTGTAAAGGACATGATACCCGATGTTTCCCCTACCATTACCACCCCTTCCTTGCCAGCTGAAGTTGGCTCCCCGCACTCTACAGAGGTTGACGAATCTTTATCGGTTTCTTTTGAGCAGGTACTTCCACCACTTAATGAGTCACCTAAGGAAGATATGGATGTCAGGCCCTACTCAAATGGGCACTACGACTTGGACTCTAAAACGGGAATGTCCTTGCCTTTGAGGGCGTCTCATAACATGAGGCAACCAGGCGATGGCTCAGAGGGGCGCTTCTCTGGACCACAGGACTTTATCACAGACATTCCTCCCCATGATGTCGATTTGTGTCTGGTGTCCCCCTGTGAATTTCAGCATCCCAAACCTCCTGAGAACCAACGCATTCCACTTTCTCCCGGGCTGGCTAACCCTGGTTCACGTGATCTTTCCGATGACAGTGACCTCTCCCAGGAGCTGGCGAAGCCACTTGCTCAGTGTTACGCAGTTGACGATCTGCATTCACCCCAGGGCCAAGAGACACCCCCAACATCTGCCAGTGAGTCCCTGCCCACGGCTTCGGAGTCTGATGTGCCTCCAGGCACCGAGGACTGTCCCTCCATCACTGCAGACTGCGGGCTAGACTCCGACGAGGACTCTGGGGGCAATTTCCCACCCCACCAGCCACATGACCATCTCAGATCTCGCACGTCTCAGAGGGGAACTCGTCACTCTTCCCAAGATCCTCCCCCTGCACCCATGAAGGACTTGCCCCCGCTGCCCCCACAGCCTGGTGCCTGCATGGCTGATCCTGAGGCCGAAACACAAGGCAAAAATGGGAAGAATGTAACTACAAAATCCAAGAAGCCCACTGGAGGCATGCAGAGAGTAAGCTCGACAAACATCTCCACACAGAACAGCAAGACAAAGGCTGGCACCTCAGCCCCTGCTAGTGGGACTACGAAATCGAGCTCTAATGTTGACACGAGACCTCCATCACGCAGCACGGTCCCTGCTTCCAAAGTGGGACCCATGAGATCTGCTACAGCCAGTAAGTAAGGAAACAGCTGGGGAAGTAGCAACCCTATATGGAAAACACAGCTTTATTCTTCTTAGGGGGAATTATAAAACATGTATTTTTTTTACTTGATTTATTGCAGCATTACATTAATGGCAGCTCTCATTTGTACATAACTCTTAATTCCTCATTTGCAATTCTTCTTTTTAAGGCTCGGGGAGCAGTAAGCCAAATGTGGGGGGCAGTACACCTGTTTGTTTGGACCTGGCCTACCTCCCCTCTGGCTGTGCAGCTGCCACTGTTGACGTCGAGTTCTTCCGCCGTTTGCGTTCCTCTTGCTACATCGTCAGCGGGGATGAGCCCCTCAAGGAGAACATTATGAGGCCCATTCTGAATGCACTACTGGAAGGCAAAACGGCCTGGTCTACTGTGCAAGTCAGTCCAACTTTTAGATATTTAATAAAATTATTTAATATTCTCTTTTTTTCCTTGTACAGCATTACCTCGTGTTCATATGCATAGAGAGGCATATCTACATGCAAATGACTTGTGTGACTTAGAACTGACATAAGTATAGCAATAATATAGTAACTTTAATTTGTAATTCATGCTGTATTGTTTAGTGAGTATTTTTTGGTTGTTTATAGATTGAAATGGTAGCAGTGAAGTACTACTTTTAATTTTTTGATACCTCTCACCTCAGGTGACTCTGATCCCCACCTTTGACTCCGGAACCATGCATGAGTGGTACCAGGAGACTCATGAGAGGCAGAGGGAGCTGGGCATCACTGTCCTTGGCAGCAACAGCACCGTGGCCATGCAGGAGGAGACCTTTCCTGCCTGCAAAGTGGAGTTCTGATGGGAGGGGAAGGTCTGTGCATTAAAATGCACCCTCCCCCCCCCCGACCCACAGTGGCACAGTCCCTCCCTCTCTCCTTCCCTCTTTTATTGTGTAGCAACTGCTCTCCACTCCTTCACAAACCCCCCTGTTCCGTCAGGGTGTGTGATCTGTAACCTGCGATATAAGTTTTCTGGGGGGTGGGGTGATGATCATTTAAGGGGGGGGAATTGAATATGTGCAATCATGCTACTCTTTGGTAAGCCTCAAAGTGAACTGGCCAAATTGGTAATGATGATAAAACATTGGAACTTGTGTTCTCTTTACATGCTGTAGACGCTGCTCAATGGATACAAGGCGCAGCACATGCAGAGTAACACATTTGCTGACGTATGTACGCACACACACACACACACACACACACGTGCACATACATATGTGTGTCATCCTCAACGAAAGGCTGACCTGGTTTCCTGTTGATAAGCAGCTCTCGTTTCAGCCGGTGCCTGACCGTGCCTTGTTGGGCTGTAGATCTTAAGGGTGTCATCAGTCACGAGATGTGTGGGACATCTGAAAGTTCTTTCCCATCTTCCACCGCCTGAGACTGAGAATTTCAGCCATGTCACGTCGTCTTTTATATTAAAAATAAAATTTAATTTCACACAGTTTAGCTGTTCAAAAATGAGGGGGGAAATCTATGAATGTGTCAAAGAATGTTTATAGGATGTCAGAGTTTGTGTGAGGCTGCCACTGGTGTGTGGGCTCGGCAAAGCCACCTCACTGACTGTTCTGTGGCATTTTGAGGGAGTTTTAGGTTCAAGTCCGTGTACAGAGGTCTCTCCTGTGAGGATGTCAGATTTCTGAAACGCCTGCAAACTACAAGGTACCCAACTGGGTCTGGTATAGAGTGAAAATGCTGCGGTTTTGTGGAAATGATGAAATAGTGATTACAGATGACAAGTTTGGTTTATTTGGATGCTAAAATGTTTTTTTCTTCTTCCTGATATGTGTAAATCAACAATTTTATATTCATATCCTGTGACAGCTTTCTTTGTTTACTGTAAAGTTGTGCCTACAATTCAAGGATCCGATCAACCTAATACGGTACCCGATTGAGTGTTTAGTGTCCTCGAGTGAGATGGACACGTATCAGGAGAAAAGCAAAGGGATGCCTCGTTCTTCTCTGACACGGCCTGATGCATCACACTGTAGGATGTAAGCGGCTTGTGCGTGAGCCAAGAATCGTAGCCTTTAGCATGTGTTAGCTAGAGAATTGAGAAAGCATGCTGGGCCTCCCCATCAGCACTCCTGTCTGCACTAAGATGAGGGTTTTTCTTTTTTTTTTTTAAAAAAAAAAACTCGCCCACCTTTTTGAATAACTGAAGAAATCTGTTGTGGGTTTGTCAATCAGCAAACAATGTGGGTTTTTTTATTTTATTGATGCTTGAAATGGTTACTGTTTAAGCATGCTGAACTTTACATGTGTAGTTTTCATTTCTCCATTTACTTTAGATGAAGACTCTCTTATGGGCTCTCACTACCAGGCCTGTCTTCTAGTATTTATTGAGATGGGAATCCATAATCTTACGATGCCTCCATGTTCCTGGGACCTTTCCTGAATTCTGGGACCTGCCTTGTTGGGAAAATGCATTTAGGTTTTTTTTTTTTTCCTCTCATTCCCTTTTTAAACGTGAACCTTTTGAACTTGATTGAAATTCAGATATCAGTTTATTTATTTTCTAAATTATTACCTTTTTTTGGTCAGGATTAACGCAACACTAATGCCTACCCTCTAAGAAGTGATTCTATTCTTTTGGTTTCCTGCTTTTCATTTTTTATTTTTTGCTTAGCAGCATCTTAGAACAAAATTCGCTTTCACCTGTGAAATGCCACGCAATAGTATTGTATGTGATACTGTAACCTATGCCTTTAGCTAAACTGTAACTGAACATAAGTGCAGCATTTCAACTATTTTATATTCACAAAGTTTTCCAACTGTAATTCTGTTTCTACTGCGCAGTAAGCTACCTTGTTGAGTTGGCTGAGGCTGGCAGTCTTCTCGGTTGCTGTGGCATGTTTTGAAAGTGGTTCAGAAGAATGAAAATGTGTGGATGCTCTGCCCTCTAATGGCTGTAAGGCGTAACTGTCCTGGAATATCTGCCAAATGCAAAACCAGTGACTCTAAACCAGGGGTCTCCAACTCTGGTCCCGGAGAGCTACTATCCAGTAGGTTTTCTGTCCCACTTGACTTCTGATGAGCCACACCTGTTCCTGGTATTTACCTGACAACAGGTGTGGCTCATCAGAAGCCGGGTATGATAGAAAACCTATTGGACGGTAGCTCTCCAGGACCAGAGTTGGAGACCCCTACTCTAAACCATGATGTAAGTTTGGATTTTTGTCGTCTCTCAGTGGTACAAAGGTATTAGTATCTGGACTGTGTTTTTTTTTTTTTTTTGCTGCACTGTGTGCTTGGACCACCGGGGCCCAGCCATGCCACCGGGGCAGCCACAGACGACTGGACTGCTCCCTCGTTTTATTATAGCACAGCTAACCCTGAGGTCGAGGTCCACCAGCGTTTCCAAAAAAACAGAAAAGGAAGGAGACTTCAAGACAATACCAAGACCCATTTCTCAGTATTTTTCCCAAATACTGTGCTTTACATGTGGAATGTTTTTGGCTTTGGAGCTTAATTCTGCAGATGTTCTTATTGGACGACTGAAACTGCCACAGTTGCCGATTATCCTGAAGGAGTGCTAGCAGTCGTGGATGTATGAAGGCAGATGATGCAGTATTTAAACACTAATGTTGTCTTTTTCTTTTCAATAAATATGCTTGTTTTATACAATTGTTTCTTTAGTCTTCATTTCTAATTGTAAAAAGTTTTGTTGCTCGTCTCGCCACTGTGCTCTAAGTATGGGGGCGTACTTGTGCTTCTGCTCTTCACTAAATTTAAGGTCCGTAACCTCATTTAAGTATAGCAAGTGACACAATCTACATCGATGTGCAAAGTAAACCACATGAGTCACAGTTAGGGCTGGATACTGAACTTCGGTACTTTGTGGTACCCATTGAGATGCTCCAATCCTATCGATGATCGAAAAATCGATTTCCTTTCGGTGCCAAATTCCGATACCGAAACAGTAAATCTAGCGTATGTGATCTAATACGCAGCATACTTACATGTGTAAAGAACTGAAGTCGCTGGTGATTGCCTAATGTAACGCTACATGAAGGCGTAGTGTAAGTAATGCCTAAGAAATCCAACATATCACGTGAATATCCAGAGAGCGTCATTGTGTATGTGTTTGTGAGCGACATCATCGGTCCGATTCAACTACTTGGAAGCGCTTGGGGTGATAAACTTGCTATAATTGCTTTACTACAAGCACTGGCGCTAACGAATTGTGTTCTGCATAATCTGCAATGTCTGCACTTTAGAGGCATCTTCGTCCCATCCAGCTCAAGAAAGTTTTTGGAACAAGTATACAAAAGTATACTTCAGCTCAGATGGGTTACTGACATTCTTACAGTCTGCCAATAGCCTACCTCTGTGCCCTCAACCACAATGGCATCACAAAGATCTTCAGAACATGCTGAGTGTAGGTGTCATGTCATCCCTGCTGACATCCTGCAACACACAACAAAACGATTTTAACAGCGTGAAATCTAATTTTGTTTCTGTAATTTTGCACTGTTATGTCACTTTACTATATACCTGTGAAGTTCATCTGCTGTTGTCACTTTAATTGCATTTAAATACTTATACTACAGCTGCACAAAAACATGCACAAAAAAAGGTATTGCTTCTTTATTTCATGAATACATCGTAAATGGCGGCTTTATTTTACAAAAGTCAGTCACTTGATAGAGTTGCTGTTTTGCCATAAGTTACCTTTTGTCTACGTTACATGTTACCTAAATGTTGCTCAGTAGTACCTATTTTTTATATAGCTATCTGTCATACTCTGCAATAAGATATAATGCAGTAAAAACAGCATTGTAATTGGTTTTATCAATGTACTTTACACATATGACAATAAAGCAAATCTTGAATCACAATAGCATTCATGTTAGCCCTCCTCCCCATCCAGAGTAGATTCCATTACTTGATAACCATGTTAGCTTTGTAAAATAAAGTGAAATTGAAACACGAAGCATTCTTTGTGAAAGTTAACTCTAGTCATAACCTTTACAGGGTTCCCACTCTTTTTGGGACGTTTTTCAAGGATTTTTCCGGACATTCTTATGACCCACGCTTGACATGAGGGCTTCCAGTGAAGTCACCTTTAAATCTGAGATTTTGCAGTGTAAAGCAGGCCGCTAAACCTGACACCCCGGCACCTTCAGCTCTTACACCATTTGTGTTATCTTACAATACAGTATATCTCATAACAGATAATTCACACATTCTCCCTAAATGAAATGCTGGCATGTAGAAAAAGGCTTATTGTTATGCATTTAATGCTGTAATAGTTTAAGCAGAATGCCTTTTGTTTTATACTTCATTTATACAATAATTACATTATATGTGATTCATTTACCTTTTAATATATTGCTGTGCTTCATATTCAAACTACACAGAAAATGTATTTGTTTATGGACCACAATTTAATAGTATATAGTACACACTGAGAAACAATAAGCAGCAATCATGAAATGGAGATATTTGCTCAATATAAGAAAATCAGGGATGGGCCAATCTACATTTTTTCAGTTCCGATACCATTCCAGTACACAACTGCCAATACTGATACAGATTCCGATAAGAGCCCTTTTTATTGTAATATTATAAAGTCAGCTCTGGCCTTTGTGATATTGATGTCAGAAGAGAAGCTGAATGTGTTTGATATGAAGAAATGCACCAGATCAGATGAAGGTCTTCAGAGGTTGTTGCCTGTGGTCAAGGAATCTAGGATGGCTCTGTAAGTGATATTGCATACATCTGTTGATAAACAAGTATGGATGTTATTCATGATACTGCTCATGATTATAATATTAAAGCAATTAATATCTTATAGAAACAGTGAGGGTTCCATAATATAGAGGGCTCCTAAATGGTATATATCAGCGGTAGGGTTCATTTAACGGAGCTTCCTGAAAACTGTTGTCTCTTAGCTGCTCACTGGTGCCCTCTGGTGGCTTGAGATGCACCTTGTTGAGGATATGACCGTTCGTCTACTCTGGCAAGAATAGATTAATATAAAATATATAAATATAAAAATACAGGAGGAGGAATATGTGTATATCATTTGTAAGTCAGGCAAATCTGATCATTTTATGGGGGGCTCAATACTTTTGCAAGGCACTGTATATATCTGCACAATGCACCTCTGCACTATGGCTCTCTGGTTTACGCTTCTGTACATACTGTACTTAACTGTTTTTTGTAGTCTTGTTGTTTGCTGTATGTCTGTTCTGTTTAAGTATACTGAGAGCAACAATAAACCGAAGATCTTTTATGTGTTAACCAGTAAAGCTGATTCTGATTCTGATTACATAGATTACATTCAGTTGCACGATTCTATGTAAGTTGCTAATGTTGCTAGCAACGTGAAAACGTCACCTAGTTTAGCAGGGGAATAATGAGTAATATTACAAAGTCTGACACTGACAGTGATGAGGCTTCAGTACTTCTTCATAGCCTTATTTTGGTTAGCTAAACGAATACCTAACTGATACTGCAATATCTAATTGATACTGCAAGACCTAATTGATACTGAATTGAAACCACATTTCCAAATTCATTACAAACAACATATTTACAAGCTTCTCCGCTTGCTGTTTTGAGTTCTTGGTAAAAAGTTATTAATATGCTAATGTTGTGCCTTGGCTGAAGTGGGACTATTTCAGTTATGGTCGGCAAATTGTTCCAGGAAACATTAAGTGATAAACTTACCACTCAAGAGCCTTCATTTGCAATCTCCGAGCAACTGGCTGTTCCTCATCATTCAATTCCTCCTCTGATACGGGCTCAAACATATATGGTTGGATGCCAAGGTCAGGTACGGATTACGGACTGGGCCAGCGGGGCCGCTGCCCATGGGGCCCTTGGGGTGCAGGGGGCCCGTGGGGCCCCTTGCCCAAAACAATTTGCAACGCTTATCAACAATGTATTTTCGTTTGTCTATTTTAGAGGGCCTACATTCTTTGATCCTCTGCCTACAAGGGCCCCTGACCCTATAGGGCCTCTGATGGAAACATGGAGGGAGGGCGTTTGGCTGCCAAGGGCCCTTGAATTGTGGTGGTGGTGGTGGTGGTGGGGGGGGGTCGGAGCTTTCAGGGGCCCCCCGGCCCTGCTATAGGAACTTTAAAGGGAAATGGGTGCATGGGAGCCTACTTTTAGAAGGCCCTCTTAGGCCCTCCTATTATGGTCCTGGCTTCTG